CAGTGGCTTCGCTCTGCCATCCGTGATTCACAACAACCAACCTCTCCTATAGGTTTCCTATTTTTGAAACTTCCGCCACCGCCTTGTGCGGTACTACTGGTAAACAAAAATAATCATATTTCCCTATAAATGTTCAATAGTTTACTTGAGAAATCCATAAGGAATCTATGGAGGTCCAACCCAGGCTCTAGACCCAGGCCATAGATTTTCTGAATCTTCCCATTCGTAAATCCACGATTTTGGGAAATCTATAGGGAATTCTTCTAGATTCCATGAATGGAAATGAACAAAAATGACCTATTTTCCCACGAAATCCACCGAGACTGAATCTGCTTGGAATGCGAGTGACTGTTTCTAAATTGATTGTGATCTCTCAAGCAAAATGCAGTCATATTTTTAGGAGATTCACCCGCAACAAAGGTGCCCTGCCCAACAATGTTCAGGTTTAGGGACAGGCTTTTTATGCCATCAAGATTGCCATTCCGTGGTCTGAATGGGTGGTCGCTAGAGGCAACAGACTCGACTACCATGGTTGGTGATCTCAAGACGACAGAAATCGAATACTCGCTCCGGTTTTCCCCTTTGATCGATGGTTTGAGCGCTGACGAAGCCGTCAGGAGAGCGTACCAGGGGTTGATCAAAAAGCTCGTGGACCTGAGCCCAAAACCGGACGCCGGGAAAGCTTTCAAAGTGCGGCTCATCTTTTCCGCGAACCTTGCTACCAGACTGTTACTTCGACAACACGACAGCAACGCCTCACCCACGCCCGAGTTGCCACCACAACAGTGGAGGGCTGAGTTACCGTCCACGCAACAAGAGTGGGGATTGGGCCCAGTGGAATTTCGTGGCCGCATTCATCACTGCATTTCTGGATGGTGCTGTCAACCCCTGAACTTCAAGGGACTATATCCTGGAAGAGACCAATTTTTCTGAGCACTGAGAGCTTGGAAGCGCTGCTACTGAGAGATGTAAAGCGCTGTTAAAAGCCTTAACATTTATTCTTGCAGGGGTTACCGACATGGGAGGGTTTATGGAATCTCACATATGACCATTGTTGAGACGATCAATGTTCTTCAGCTTCTGTTTGCATCACATTTAAGAACCACAGGCTCATACAGGCTCTCCTTACTGATGTGTTTTTTATGCCTTTGCCATTTGATCCACTTTGGATCCTGATGGGGATATGTTTCAGAGCCAGCAGCTGGTACGTCCCCGTTGGCCCAAAAGGTTAGTGTATAAGCCATCTAATTGCAGACATCTCTACCATATGCTACAGTTGGCCGCGGTTACAAACCATCTTGCCTGTCTGGGTTTGCTGTAAACAGGGTACCCCATTCCATCCTTTGGTGAATCCTGGTCATTCCTATTATTTGATGTCCATGAAATCGGGTCATGCCGCATTTTCAGTCACACCGGAATATCATATTGCTGGCGTACATAAAATAAATGTTTGTGTGTTTTTGGGGAAAAATGCACTTTACATCCCAACAAAACGCTCGGTGAATCATATTTTGTTGGGTCCATACATCCCCAACATAGCTATAAACCATTTTACCTACCTAGCGCCTCTAGGGGTCTCTACATGTATCTAAGAGGAACCGTGATTGCAACTATAATCTATATACATAAAGCTACATATTGCCCATCAAACCACGTATATATATATAGAACTATGTATATATGTATGTAATATGATAGATGTATGTATACATGTATATACATATCTCCTATGTAAAACTAGGGTTGGTTCCATATCTCATTATCTCCATGAAAAACCCGCGGTGGTTGATCAACACCTCATTTCAACCACGGGGATCAATCCCCCCTATATCTCATTAACATGCATCAAAAATATCTGTTAAATCAAAATCCCTCGTAAATCTCATCAAAAACCTCATGAAAATCACCATGAGATCACCATAAAACCACCATACACCACCATAAAATCACCATAAGATCACAGATATCTGGACCGGACTGAGGTATCGATACCGAGTATTGGCGTCAGTCGCTGCAAATATATCAGATCTATTTGCGCTTCGTCAAGGGATACCTGGCGTGTTACTATCCCAACAAGGATCGGTGGCCGTCGTCCGGTTAGGATTCCATCGCTATTTTCCATGGGAATTTGATGGGCTCAGAAAGGTCAGGAACAATGAGGGTTGCTGGCTGACAAACCTGAAACCATGGAACGTTGCATGTTCACATTGGGATAATAACTTCTTGGAATTGTATTGGAATACTTAACAAATATGAACATTGGGGTTGTAGACCCCTAACAAGGGTTGAATTTGTATCCTAGTCAGTTTGAGGTTTAAGAACTTGTTCAACCGTATTAAGGGTCAATAAGTAACCCAAATTTAGTGAACATGTTCAAAAGAACAAGGAGAATATTATCCAACCCATATTAACATCCATAATCCTCTTGTTGGTGGTGGTTAATCCTTCAAGTCTATGCCGCATCTTGGATTTGCTTGACAGTTATTTTTTCATAAATGGTTCATCCACTAAATTAAAAGCTTCTGAGAACATTGTTTGGCATATTTTAAACAAATCAAAGCTGATTGGTGGTTTGGAACATGGCTTTTATTTTTCCATATATTGGGAATGTCATAATCCCAACTGATTTTCATATTTTTCAGAGGGATAGGTCAACCACCAACCAGATCAAAGTTGTTTTGTCCCGAAATGTTTTATCACAATTAAATCCCCATTCTTCACCACCATTAAACCACCATTTTTCACCATTAAACCACCGGTAGATCCCATTAAACCACCATGGTTTTGAGAAGCATCGAAGCACCATCGGTTCAGTGGGACCTCCAGGATCAGAGTTTGTCTCTTGAAGTCCTCACCATTTTGGGTTGTTCTAACTATTCTCAGACTCACCCATTTTGGGGTGATTTAATGGTGATTCTATGAATTCTTATGGGATTTTATAGTGATTTAATGCGGTATTATTGGTATATACCCTCTGGTAATGACTAACAGTTTGCTATTGAAAATGGCCATAGAAATAGTGGATTTACCCATTGATAGCATGGTGGATCATTCCAGTTCGTTATGTGGCTGTTTACCAGAGGGTAAGTTGGAATAAACTAACATGATATCCTGAGTATATCATTGGATTGGTTGACGGAAAAATCTTAACCGGAAACCATGGTTTTTTCCCAATCAAATATAGGGGTTTCCTGCAATGTTTCCCTTACACCAATCCATTCACATTAACATCTACCAGTAGTACCGCACAAGGCAGTGGCGGAAGTTTCAAAAATAGGAAACCTATAGGAGAGATTGGCTGTTGTGAATCAGGGATGGCAGAGCGAATCCACTGATGGACCGAAAGGTGCTTGAGGTCTCCTCTTCCTCTCTCTTTCTCTGACTATCTACTTACCTACCAGCCTATCTTCTATGTATCTATCTATCTATCGATCTATCTATCTCTCTCTCTTTCTCTCTTTCATCTCATTACCTATCTACCTATCTACCTATCTACCTATCTACCTATCTACCTATCTATCTATCTCTCTCTCTCTCTTTCATCTGTCTATCTGTCTAGCTGTCTACCTGTCTGTCTACCTATCTGTCTATCTATCTACCTGTCTATCTGTGGTGCAGTGTCATTCAGTGTAATGTAGTGTAGTGTAATGTAGTGTAGTGTAGTGGAGTGTAGTGGAATGTAGTGTAGTGTAATGTAGTGTAGTGTAGTGTAATTTCGTGTAGTCGAGTGTAGTGGAGTGTAGTTGTGCAGTCGTAGTTGCAGTTGTAGTTGTAGTGTAGTGGAGTGTAGTGTAGTGTAATGTAGTGAAGTATAGTGGAAGGTAGTGTAGTGTAATGTAGTGTAGTGGAGTGTAGTGTAGTGTAGTGTAGTGTAATTTAGTGTAGTGGAGTGTAGTGGAGTGTATTGTAGTGGAGTGTAGTTGTGTAGTTGTAGTTGTAGTGGAGTGGAGTGTAGTGTAATGTAGTGAAGTGTCGTGGAAGGTAGTGCAGTGTAGTGTAATGTAGTGTAGTGGAGTGTAGTGTAGTGTAATGTAGTGTAGTGTAGTGTAATTTAGTGTAGTGGAGTGTAGTGGAGTGTAGTTGTGTAGTTGTAGTTGTAGTGTTGTGTAATGTAGTGTAGTGTAGTGGAGCGTAGTGTAGTGGAGTGTAGTGTAGTGTAATGTAGTGTAGTGTAGTGAAGCGAAGCGACATCTGAACCTCCAAAAGTGGTCCGAACCCCTGGTGTTTTTTCCCGAGAGCGCCTGCGAAGGGTTCTTCGTAAAAAAGCAGCCGTTATACTAGATCTTCACACCTTCACATCTGCAGATCTAGATCTTCACACCTTCACATCTGCTGATCTAGATCTTCACACCTTCACACCTGCAGATCTAGATCTTCACACCCTCACATCTGCAGATCTAGATCTTCACACCGTCACATCTGCTGTTCTAGATCTTCACACCTTCACACCTGCAGGTCTAGATCTTCACACCCTCACATCTGCAGATCTAGATCTTCACACCTTCACATCTGCTGATCTAGATCTTCACACCTTCACACCTGCAGATCTAGATCTTCACACCTTCACACCTGAAGATCTACATCATCACACCCTCACACCTGCAGATCTACATCTTCACACCCTCACATCTGCAGATCTAGATCTTCACACCTTCACACCTGCAGATCTAGATCTTCACACCCTCACATCTGCAGATCTAGATCTTCACACCCTCACACCTGCAGATCTAGATCTTCACACCCTCACATCTGCTGATCTAGATCTTCACACCTTCACATCTGCTGATCTAGATCTTCACACCTTCACACCTGAAGATCTACATCTTCACACCCTCACACCTGCAGATCTACATCTTCACACCCTCACATCTGCAGATCTAGATCTTCACACCTTGACACCTGCAGATCTAGATCTTCACACCCTCACATCTGCAGATCTAGATCTTCACACCCTCACACCTGCAGATCTAGATCTTCACACCTTCACATCTGCAGATCTCCTCTCGCTCTTCTTCTATTCTCTCTTAAGGCGGGGGCGGTGCCCCCCGAGCGCCACGAAACGCAACCCTTTCGCACGAAATGGACGTTGGACGTCCAAAACCTAGGTAAAATTGCGATTTTGAAGCGTCCCGCGCAACCCTTTCGCACGAAATGGACGTTGGACGTCAAAAACTGAGGAAAAATTGCAACTTTTATTGGTCGCGCGCAACCCTTTCGCACGAAATGGACGTTGGACGTCAAAAACTGAAGAAAAATTGCGACTTTGAAGCGTCCCGCGCAACCCTTTCGCACGAAATGGACGTTGGACGTCAAAAACTGAGCAAAAATTGCGACTTTGAGGTGTCCCGCGCAACCTTTTCGCACGAAATGGACGTTGGACGTCAAAAACTGAGGAAAAATTGCGACTTTGAAGCGTCCCGCGCAACCCTTTCGCACGAAATGGACGTTGGACGTCAAAAACTGACGAAAAATTGCGACTTTGAAGCGTCCCGCGCAACCCTTTCGCACGAAATGGACGTTGGACGTCAAAAACTGAGGAAAAATTGCGACTTTGAGTTGTCAATCGCAACCCTTACGCACGAAATGGACGTTGGACGTCAAAAACTGAGAAAAATTGCGACTTTGAGTTGTCAATCGCAACCCTTACGCACGAAATGGACGTTGGACGTCAAAAACTGAGGGGAAAATTGCGATTTTACTTGGTCAATCGTAACCCTTTCGCACGAAATGGACGTTGGACGTCAAAAACTGAGGAAAAATTGCGATGGACGCTTTCGTTTCTGTACAAGTGTCTGTGTGTAAAAGCGTCTGTGTGTAAAAGCGTTTGTGTTTGAAAGCGTGTGTGCGTGTGTCAAAAGCATCTGCGTGTAAAAGCGTCTGTGTGTAAAAGCGTTTGTGTGTCAACGCGTCTGTGTGTAAAAGCGTTTGTGTGTGAAAGCGTGTGTGCGTGTGTAAAACGTATCTGCGTGTAGAAGCGTCTGTGTGTAAAACCGTCTGTGTGTAAAAGCTTTTGTGTGTAAAAGCGTTGCGTCTGTGTGTAAAAGCGTCTGTGTGTAAAAGCGTTGCGTCTGTGTGTAAAAGCGTGTGTGTGTAAAAGCGTTTGTGTGTAAAGGCTTTTGTGTGTCAAAGCGTCTGTGTGTAAAAGCGTCTGTGTGTAAAAGCGTTGCGTCTGTGTGTAAAAGCGTCTGTGTGTAAAAGCGTTTGTGTGTAAAGGCTTTTGTGTGTCAAAGCGTCTGTGTGTCAAAGTGTGTTTGTGTAAAAGCACCATGTGTAACAGCGTTCGTGTGTAAAAGATTTTGTGTGTACTTTGACCGCACGACATGGAACTGTTAGAGATTGAGGGTGACAATGCTTGCTAGTGTATCCGTGCTAGGACGTGCGGAGCTTGGTTCGTTTGGTGTGGTAATCTGTGTGGGAATTGATACGTTCATAGTGAGCTTCACTGTTCAGTTTGCATGTCTATGCGACAATGATTTTTGCTTGTCAAACGCAGGAGTCGTGGTCTCAGGCTTCGAACAACACATTAAAAGCGTTTGTGTGTGTAAAGGCTTTTGTGTGTCAAAGCGTCTGTGTGTCAAAGTGTGTTTGCGTAAAAGCACCATGTGTAAAAGCGTTCGTGCGTAAAAGATTTTGTGTGTACTTTGACCGCGCGACATGGAACTGTTGGAGATTGAGGGTGACAATGCTTGCTAGTGTATCCGTGCTAGGGCGTGCGGAGCTTGGTTCGTTTGGTGTGGTAATCTGTGTGGGAATTGATACGTTCATAGTGAGCTTCACTGTTCAGTTTGCATGTCTATGCGACAATGATTTTTGCTTGTCAAACGCAGGAGTCGTGGTCTCAGGCTTCGAACAACACATTCTTTGCATTGAATTGTGCGAGTGTGTAGCAGGTTAGTGCATGAAGTTGTAGAAGTTACCAAGTACCTCTTTCGTCGTTCGCTCGCGTGGCTTGCGGATCAATGACCTGTAGTTGTGCATTGCGGATCTGTTAAATAGCTTGCGTCGTGTTCAAGGTAGGGAACGTCTGTTCGATCACAGTTGCTGCCATGACCACCGGCGCTTGCGAGTGGAGAGCGGCGCGAGAAGAAGATATCAGGAAGGCTTACGCCGACAAAGAATGCTGGAATGACTTGGACCGCATTACCTCTCGGCACCCTTACAGTTTCGGGTCCATAGAGGAGTGGCCATTGGACGCTGCCGTGATCTGCAAACCTACGGCTCGAGCGTCGGTGCTGCTTGGAAGCATCAAAGCGGCCTGCAGCTTGAAAGACATTTTCGAGACTCTGTCGGTGAAGGTCACCGTGGTGGCACGTGACCATGTGCGCAAATGAAATGGAGATTCGAGGCGCCCCAAAGGATTGGGCGCAGTATTTCCAGCAAGAAAATGTCTATCACGTCAAGTGTCATTTGGAGGACACGACATTGAAGCCGCCGCACCGTTGGCAGGAACGAATCCCTGACTTGGTAGCTTCTTGTTTGGAACAGTGGAAAATTGTTTGTGGCCAACTCTGGAAACAGTCCATGCTGGCAGTGACCAGGGGCGAATCCATGCACGTGCTCTTCCATTGCTTTGGAGGCATCAATCGAAGCGCTGGGGTTTTATGTGCTTGGCTCGTCGTGGGTTACAACTACTCTGCAGAGGATGCCGTCCAGTTGCTGCTTGAGAAAAGACCTGCCTTGCGCCCTTGGCACAATCGCCCCTATGTCTTGGAGGCCTTGTGGCAGCTGGAAGGTTTGCGGGCCAAGTGGCACATGGAACTGAGTGCGGCGGGCAGAAATTAATTTGCACCACTGTTCGCCTGGAGAGACATTCGTGGCGAACGTGCTAAATCAGTAGCCAAGTGTTGTTAGTCTGTAAAGATTGTTCGATCCTGTAGAGACATCGGAGAAATGCAGTTAAACAGGTGTCATCCATGCCATCATGATATCGAACTTGTTTTTGTGGAATCATTCACTGCGCTCACAAATTAATGTGCACCACTGTTCGCCTGGAGAAACTGTTCGTGGCAAACGTGCAAAACCAGTAGCCAACTGTTGTTTGTCTGTAAAGATTTTTTTCCATCCTGTAGGGACATCGGAGAAATGCAGTGAAACAGGTGTCATCCTTGCCATCATGATATCGAACTTGCTACTGTGGAATCATTCACTGCGTTCACTTGTTGTTTTTTGGATACCATTGTACTGAGCCTTTGTTTGTGCACTTGTGCAATTTTGAAGCATTTCCATTGCAACTATGTTTGCGCACCTTTGTTTGCAACTGAGGTCATCCACGGCATCATGGTAGAGAGCTTATTGGTATGTCAAACTCAGGAGTCGTGTTTTCAGTTTCGAAATGAAAGAGCAGATGCTTCGCATTGGATTGTGCGTTGTACATTCCTTGGCTCAGATGTGAACGAATGGACAAGATGCGTTTCGCCACAAGAGATGTGATGTTTGTAGGTGAAGCTGTAGTGGACATATCGAAACCTGGCGCTTTCAATTAATACTTCTGTAGCCTGTACTAACAGCATGTCGCGCCTGGCAGCCGATTGCTTTGCAGCTGCGGGGAGATTGCAATATACTTCGTTTCAAACAAATTCAGTTGATTTGAACGATGCGCTGTTGGTATCTATTCATGACTGGAAGGACGCCGGTTCGAGAGAATTGTACATCTACGATCAAGTGCACATGAACGGCCCTCCGGAAATGGGCCGCCATTTCTGGGGCCATTTGCCACTAGCTTGGATGCACGAGCTCATGCTCGATTTCACATTGTATTACATTCTGTTTTCAAATGAAGAAGCAAGAGATGATGCCAACCGATTATGGGTCTTGGTGTTGAAAGATACTCGGCGGCAGCGCCCACATCGTTGGACATGACAGCAGTTAACAACAAACAAAATTTTGGTGCACAAACATGTCGCATAAAGTATTTGGATATGTAAGTGTGTTCTGCCAGAAAGACCGTGGAGGGAATGCATCCGGAATCCGTGCAAGGGCGGATGTCTTTGATGAACAAATTCTACGACACATTCTTTCATTTGTGCCTGGGAGCGCTGAATTGGCTCCAAAATATTCTTTGCAACCAGAAACCGGACAGTATCTGGTAAAAGCTGGTTGGCCAGTTGTTTTGAAGAAAATGTGCCATTGGAAGGAGGCAGGCACCACCATCTGTGTTTGCAGCTGCGCAGATGATTTCTTCGATGCCCTGGTGCAAATTAATCTGTAGCACTGTTCGTCTGGAGAGACTGTTCGTGACGAACATGCAAAACCAGTAGCCAACTGTTGTTTGTCTGTAAAGATTTTTTCCATCCTGTAGGGACATCGGAGAAATGCAGTGAAACAGGTGTCATCCTTGCCATCATGATATCGAACTTGCTATTGTGGAATCATTCAAAGCATTCTTGCACGGACTTCTAGATTCTCTTGGATGCCATGGTACGGAGCCTGTGTTTGTGTACTTTGCATTTTGTAGCATTTCCATTGCGACTATGTTTGCCCACCTGTGTTTGCAACTGAGGTCATCCACGGCATCATGGTGCCGAGCTTATTTTGTATCTCAAAGAGCGGATGCCTTGCATTGGATTGTGCGTTGATCATGGTACTGAGCCTGGTCTTGTGCACTTTTGCGATTTTTTAGCATTACCATTGCAACTATGTTTGCGCACCTTTGTTTGCAACTGAGGTCACCCAGTGGTGCCGCGCTTTGTGAGCGTCTCTGTGTAAAAGTCTCTGTGGAAGCGTCTGTGTGTAAAAGTGTTTGTGTGTAAAAGCGTCTGAGTGTAAAAGCGTCTGTGTGTAAAAGCGCCTGTATGTAAAAGTGTTTGCGTGTAAAAGCGTCCGTGTGTAAAAGCGTATGTGTGTAAAAGTGTTTGTGTGTAAAGGCGTCTGTGTGTAAAAGGGTCTGTGTGGAAAAGCGTCTGTGTCTGTGTGCAAAAGCGTCTGTGTGTAAAAGCGTTTGTGTGTGAAAGTGTGTGTGCGTCTGTAAAAAGGCATCTGCATGTAAAAGTGTATGTGTGTA